CGCTAGAAGTGAACAAAATTTGTTCAATAATTTGAGAATCTGTGATACGGATGAGTTTTTCAGACCTCTCGTGTAGCCGTTAAATTATAGAGTATTTTTCATAAAATTGGATTCGCTTGATGCTACCTCTTCGGTGGCATTCGAATCCGTGGCCACTAATCACGGCACTGAGCCTCTGATTGGATGGCTGCTTTTCTTTTACGAGACTACGGTATAATCGCGTCACTAGTTTTCAAGACGTTAGGTGCTTGTGTGGTTTCTGTCACCTCCTGCTCCTCTCCCCAATATTTCTTACTGACAGTTAATTTTTTTCATGCCGGTTTTAGCTTTTGTTCTCAGAACCACTGAGAAGAAAGTCCATGGATTAATGGCGATTTAATCTGTCTAGTTCACTTATGCTACATATTTCAGAAGGTATTGGCCAGTTGCCCACGTAATTTTGGTGAAAGGTGGCGGAAGATTTTCTCTACATTGGTGCTTTTCGACAAAAGTAGTGTAACAGACTAGTGCCTAACCGGCATTCCTTTGATGGAAAGCCAACTTATCGATTGATGTTTAGATCCAGCCGTCATGGCAGTGTGTTAAAGTCCAATTCTATTGTGATATCTATTGTTAGTTCAATCATAATAAATGTATTGCCGATTCACTAACTTAATTGTGATCACCATAATTTCGTTCGCATCACATTAACCTACCTTTAAAACTGATGCGCGGTCAATCGAAATCTCTCGCGGACTATAATGTCCTAAAATCACGACAACTACTTAGCAAGCTATGAATTATGTTATGTGGGTCCGTACGAGGAAACCAAACCTTGGGTCTGCCCTGGCGTTGCCATACAGCCACTAGAGCTTAGCGGCACATTTGGTGATGCATCAACACTAGTTGAAGACTACTATTAGGTCTGTGTGTACAAATCATGACCTTCAAACAGACATCACGATGGTCGCTCACATTATTTGTTATTGTCGCAAATAAGATCATCTTCTGGAAAAGTGGTTTCGTTGTTTCTCATGTCTATCTACCCGTTTTCCTTCGATATGATTGGTTATTTCCCTTATGGCTTCCGTTTATTACAAAGTGGCCCTCGACGGCTAACGTCAGGGCCTTTTAAATTGGGCCACTTTCTCTTAGTGCCATTGTTTCCTGTCGCGGTGCATCTTCGTTTTCTGTTCAATCAATTAAACGGCTTTGGAGCCAATCTGCCTCTTTGGTATCGGTTGGATAAGGCCGACTTATTGTAAGGAACTTCGTAAATGTAATACCAGCAGTTCGGTGGGTATAAAATGAACTCCACAAACAACGAAAATGGAACATGAAGTATATTCGACTGATTTAAACTTGATCTCCGCCTGGAGCGTCGCAAAAGCTCATCGAGGCCACTGTCTGCAATTGTTTTCTAAAAGAGAAATTGAACACGTTGCCAGGAACCTTAAAAGCGTATATTTATTAACAATTCAGCACTTGATATTGCAGCTAGTCTGTCTGTTTGAAAGCACGGAACCGTTTTATGACCATTGTACATCAGAGTTGTACCAGAAATTGGCCTATTTGGTCATGATGCTTATTCGTTGCTGGATTGGGCAAATGCACTGTAGAGGTGCACAACTGCTGTCCCGTTTTTGTGCTTGGGAATCGCAGGGACGCGTGCTATGCGTTTTAATGTGTGCCACACTGGTCGTCTTGTATTGACCAAACGTATAATATTAACGAATTCGAAACCAAGTTTTAAATTGTTTAAGCTATTGTCGACCTGTGGTAAGGTACTAGAACTTTTTATAGCTTTGTGACAGTCAAAAACGAATGCAAACTCATTTTAAATTTTCTTTCAATGCCTAAACTAGGTAATTTCTTATACTTTTGGAAGTTTACTACTTTCTTGCGAATTATTATCTTTTGGCGGACTTTAGTTTCCGCATGTTTTCTAAGTCTTACCCTTCCATGTACGATCATGCAAAATAGATTTGGAACCTATCAATATCAAGTGTAAAGATGTTAAGTGTAAAACATCCTAAAATTTCCGATTGTATGAATTTTCGAGGAGAAAAACAAATTTGCATTAATTGGAACTGTTGAAATTGTCAGATCGGCTGTGTATTGTCTTTTGATCAAATTATCATTTTTAGTTGCCTTGTGTGTTCTGACATCATTTCACGGACGGTCTTGAGGATTTCAAGGCTCGGTCTTTTCAAATTTCATCACAGTTTTCCAGCTTTTTTGAAAGGAATTCTATGCCTTTCCTCGGTAATTGGACGCCTTATTTAGAACCACGAAGTTGGCTATCAATTTGCTCATAAGCATCGCTTTGGTAACAAGGGCTGTTCCTTTGCTTCCTTATGAAATAAGTGTCTGCCATTCTTTTCTCCAAATTTTAGTGAATTGAATGCATGGATCATTTGAATTACCGGCTATATCGTCAATCTATTCAAGATGATACAATATTCGGGAGCATGTAATGCTATCTTTATCTCAGTCGTCGCGCTTAAAACATTGCATTTTGAAGCACACCTTTAGTATTAAAGCTTGCTCGTGAAAGTCAAGCCTTCTTAAGGTCGGCGCTTGGCGAAAAACTGCCTTATTTTGGTTCTCAGTTGTAGAAAGGAGTGATACAGATGAGTAAAACGCCCCCTTTTAAATGTGATTTTAAATCCCTGATATTTTAGCGCAAGCTCAATGCAGCTACCAGGAAGGCGCTAAAGCAGTTGCCGGTGAAGTGTCTTAACCAGGTGGATCCTCTGATCTCCGAGGGCTTCGACCAGTGCGCCATCTGTATCGAGGTCTTCAAGCCACAGGACCTCATTCGCAGTCTTCCTTGCAGGTATTTGAAATGCTAGCCAATCTGCGCTGCTTTGAGTGGTCGCTTGGACGTCTATGCGGCTGACTTTAGAGTTGGTATTTTGAATTGTGCTTGGAATCTTTCCTGTAAGATCGTGAGCGTACGCTTATGCAACGAGCTTTAGGGCCGTTGTATCGTTGATGGTGGTTTTCCTGTGTAGGGGTAAACTGAAGTATATAAAGGAATTAATTTCACAGCTCTAAAAAATAACGGGCGATGCAACAGGGTTTTAAATGTAATATCTTCAACGGAAGAGGTTTGCCTGAATCATTGTGTAAACTGCCTTTAATCTTTTTAAGCTCTTTGAATACAGAAGAACGCACATCGATCATTAGCATCAATACAAAAGTGAGAACGAGATAAAACTTTCCTGTAGATAGGCCGCGAATTCTTCTCACGTTCCTTATATTTGATTTCCAAATATTTTTGTTCAGACATCATCCTCCTGCTAGGCAAAGAACGTTGTATTACCGACCATCCCTGAATGATTTATTACAACTTGTACTCGTGTGTCGGTGGCTAATCTGTATTGATAAAGATTTCTCTTCGACAGATTGATGTCTGATGTTATTGTGCGAATTTCGGAGCGACTTATGTTCGTGTTCTAGCTTTACCCATTGATGGAGAACCACAAAAGGGGTACTCACGTGTCATCCTACACTTGCATGATATCGCTCAGCATAAAAAATTCATTTTGAAAGAATGAAAATGAACCAGGAAGTACTTAACAAGATAGAATTCATTAAAATAAATTCATGAATTGATCTGCAACAAAGTGCGCAATGTGCAGATCCTGTTAGCAGAATAGGTCGGTTTTAAAGACGATCGGCGAACGGTATGGAAAAATTCTGCGCTGTTATTCTTGGCCGCGAAATTCGTTGTTTTTGTGGACGTAAAGGTATACATGCAAGTTTTCAAGTACTGGCATTATCTGAATCAAAATAAATCGGGTTGTTCTTCTAGACTGCTTCGAACTTGCTTGAACTGTGTGCCATTTAACGATGGTTGTTTTTCATCTTTAGCGAAATATCCAACGTTCAGGCTTGTTAGCAGTTGTTATACCCTTTTTGCTTTTGCGCAAATGCAGCCTTTTGAATGTGCTTTGAACAGGTGAGGTCCTATCTTATGATTCGTGTCGGTACTGGTGTATTACAGGAGAAAAAAGAGAACGATTTGTAAATCGTCGCTACTTTACATTAAGAGCATTCGTAACTTTCATTGCAATATTTGTTCATAAAAGGTAACGACGATTCAAAAAGTCGAAATATTACTGTTTGGCAGAGGTACGATAGGATTTAGGGGTGTAATTTCGGTCGTCAAGTGAATGACTATTGAATTTGTGCGATGAGTGACGAATCAGTGACTAGCTCTTATAGTGGTGACAGGAACCAGGAAAAACGGTTTTTTTGCTGCAAAATGCATAATACTTGTGTGTGCGCGCATTCACACCCAGCCTCGTCTTGCTTTTGCTGCCAACGCTCGAATGTTCCGCGTAGTGGCATGATGTTGCATTTGTCGCTTCATCTGTTTATGTCTCAGTCCGCTCTTTCCATCGCAGAGGCTCCGTGGGTGTGTTTACGTCTTACCTAGCCACTGCTTGTAGGTGAAGCTTGCTTCCACTCCTTCAGTCACTCAGTTGTCGGATCGAGACAACGCTGTCTTCCTTCTCCGCACCCTCATGAATCAATCAGTCGTTTGACCGACTTCCCCTTCTCCGTCTCTGAAGTGTTTTGGCACTGACATTTTTTTTGTGAAGAGAAAAGTGCGGTTAGTGCCCTTTCACTCACTCACTTGCTCGCTTGCTCGCCCGCAAGTGTGACTCGGTGGCTCTGACGAGAATGGACTGGTGAATTTAAAATAAGGCAGACGTTTTGTGTTCAACAAAATTATTTGTTCATGTTGCACTCACTCCCAACACTCCAACCCAAGGAGGTTTACACTCTGCCCACCTATTACCTGTGTCCTGCCTAAGTAACAAGCACGTCGTTTAACATCTGTCTCAACGCGTGAGGTGTTGGTGATGGCTGTTTTTGTGGAATGTTTTATTTTTAAACAGTAATATCACACTTGAACTGCTCAACTCTGTGGTTAGAGTTATCAGGCAGTTGAGCTGTGTGTCCTCCCTTACCGACAGAGCGCCTTAACAACAACCGGCTTCGACATTGTAGACCAGTGTGGGTTCGACAGAGAATTATTCGTACCCATGCAACACTGCATATGTTAGACCTCATAACCAGGTAGTTTCGAGGTCGGGTTAGTCCTCATTTACTTGATCATGTCTCTAGAGGGCGTCCAGTTTCGTATTTAGGTCAGCTCGCGTTCATATCATTGACCACAGTCTGGCTCACTCACATATTTATGTCCCTTTATTCAACTTACCCATTAACATTGGCGTTCACAGTGAAGTGCGAGTTCGTTTAAATGATGTGTTATTGCTTCACTGCCATTTCATACTGTCATTCCAGCAGAGTGTGTTGAATGGTTACATTGACATTTTGCAGAGTGGCTCACTATGCATCCAATGCCACTTCGAGCGTAAGCAGGAATCGTTACTGCTTGGAATGTGGAAGTCGGTTGAGAAGTTGCTCAGGTCGAAATGATCTAAGAATGGGAAGTGGGTGCCTTAATACTGTGGATTACGTGAGTGGTCTGTGGAATTGGTGCCTCCGCATATGAAGAGAAGGGCCATGCAAGAATAAGGGAAATTCCTCTCCAAAAATGTCATACGCTGCTCACGACACGAAGTACATTTTTGTCTTGGCATTGTAAGTAGAGCCACATTTTCCTCCATAAACGTGGGATGGCAGCAGAGGAAATGATCTAGCTCAGTGACTAATTTTTTTGGGGATCATATGCAATCCAATCCCAATTGACACGTCACTGTGCACTACTTTTCTAATTTTCATTGTCATTGAGTACGTCTTTTGCCTGAATACGGATAGGAACGGTTGTTTTGAGTGCGATAATATTCGGCGACAAATGGCAAGACATTAGAGCAGCCAAACTTGATTTCTGGATGCGGTTGGCATCCTGTCGTGGTGAATCTTGTGATGAAGTATGGTACGTGACGCTTTTTCGCACGATCTTAGAAAGATGATTGTGACATTATTGGTACTTTACCTTGGCAACCACACACGATTTCCATCATGCAGGCTTGGTTGCAATGGTAATGGGCTAATGTGTAGGACTGCCATATAGTAGCACCCCGATTCTTTCTTGAAGATGATAGAGGTCGTAATACTACGGCGGAAGGTGTGTTATCGACGTGGAGGGGCCTGGGGCATACCGGCATGCCACACGCTCAATGCCCTCCAGTGGAAGTATAAAAACGGAGTCTTGAATGCCCAAGAAACCAAAACGAAGAGTTAAACAACCTAGGTATTGCATAGCCCCCCTCTCCTTTTAAGCGTCGTCCCCAGCGCCCCTTTGATCAACCTTCCTCGTCGCCCATCACAATGTGGCCGGTGCTGTAAGAAAAGCACCCTCGAACCAACTGTGCCAGTCATTGAATTTGCGTGCAACTGAGACGGTACCTGACCACAAAGTCACAGATCCCTCTTGGCAAATCTACTGGATCGGGAATTTCGTCCTGTGAGAACCGTTTTTTGGGAAGAGGAGGTGT